AATTGATCAGGGACAGCATCATACCAGGGATAGCATTCACTGAGTGCCCAAGGGAAGAGAGGAGGGGAGGACAAAGGGGAAATAAGTCCTGATGCATTGATAAAACAATTATACTTAGACAGAAAGACATTCCTTGTGTGTCTACGTCACCGCATCACAAAAATAGGCCACATTCAGCTAAGTGCTGTGTCTAGTAGCTATGGCAGATATTACTCATATATATTATTACTCAGATATTATATTATTATTATATATTCCTATATCAAATGCAAGGATTATTATTATATTAGTTACGGCAGATATTACTCAGATATTACTCCCTGGCATCTCAACTTCACATCCACACCTTACATTTCTGCGTCAGGGGTTCAGGATTGTAATTCCGTTTGATGAAATGCACATACATTGGGTGGAACATTAGCTGGACAACCGATGTCCCACAGTCAACAAATCAACCACTAAAATTGACCCTGTGTCGATAAGACCCAATTTTGTAGAATGAATCAACAACGTCATTCAACCCGTCAAGGTCATTGTTCTTTGATAATACAACAACAACATTACCCTAACCTTAACCCTTAGGGTTATCCTCCAAAAAATGATCCGCCAATTGACTAAGAACCGGGTTCCTACTTACTGCTAGGTGAACAGAGGTCTGTGGAGTAAGGAAACTTTGCCCGGGAATCGAACCCAGGTCCTCTCACTCGCGAGCTGTGCGCTCTAACCACTGAGCTACAGGACTCGACTTCACGGTGACTTAGAGTTATCGTCAGGCAGTTTTATCACAAAGCTTACAATTGGCAGGATCTTGGAAAATCCTTAGATTCAGCCTTTATTTAGAAGGTTTTCTGCAGCGCTTAAAGAAAAATTGGCTTCCAAATTAAGACTGAAATTTTTTTAAAAAATCATGAATGAAAAATGTGAGATATCACCGTGTGCAACCAGATCCTGTTTATGTCTACAGATCTCTACACTGGGAATCCCGTATCGTGGTGGTTAGCTCGCACGCCTTGCAAGCGAAAGACCCGGGTCCGATTCCTGGCTGGGGTGAAACCTTAAATCGAGTTTCCTTACTCCACATGCCTCTGTTTACCCAGCAGTAAGTAGGAACCCAGTTTAGTCGCTTTCCAGGGGTAATAATCTCTCCAAAAGAAAAAAAATTTGATCACTCAATCCACAAGGGCTGTGCGGAATTGGCTGCCACACTTTGCAGTCAGTCGATGTAACACGATGCTATTAAATGCAAGTTCTTCCTCCCGCATCTTAAGTGGTGTCAAAGAGGAACACAAAAAATATACAGTCAATTCACTTTACAGTCTATTCTGCGAAGCGATTTGAGAAAAGCGATATATCAAATGCAAGGATTTTTATTAAAACTGTGGCAAAGAGATCGGCATTCATTTTACCTCGAGCATTCCTTCTTATGTTAGTCGTTTGTAGTGTCCTCTCTCTGTATAGTTCTTATTCAGATTGAGTGAACCAGACATGACTCAACTGTCCATTTGGTCTGTGTTCAATCCATTGCGGAGTGAACTCATATAATGTTCACATCAAGCAATTCTGTATGCTCTTTGATTTAGGGTTCCCCAGGGAAAACGGTACCTTCTACAGGTTCAATTGCTCATTGTGCGCTGCCTCACTCTTTGTTACTATGTTCCCCGGCCCAACGACTGAGACCTTGAAACTAACCACAATGCTCAGTGACGCCCATAGTTCTCCGCTAGGCTCCTGGGGAACACTCCATCACCACCTGAGTGCCCCAATTCCAGGTCGGACATCATATAATAACAATCATAATCCTTTGCGTTCAATATAGCGCATTATCAAGCAGTTGTGGATTGAATGACTTTTCTTTTAAGGGATTATTATCGGATTATTACCCCCAGAACGCAATCTGCCAATCAACTAACAACCAGGTTCCTTACTTTCTGCTAGGTGGCCAGAGGCATGTGGAGTATGGAAACTTATCTAAGGTTTCGCCCTGCCAGGGAATCGAACCCGGGTCCTCTCGCTCGCGAGGTGAGTGCACTATCAACTGCACACATCAATGCTGGCGATAGTAACCAGGACGTTATATTCCCATGTTCTACCTTTCATTGGATTCACCCGCTATTGTCTGTCAGAGGTCAGTTAGTACAGTATCATCTTTCACTTTAATTAGTCGTTCTCAGTTTCGGCTTCTCTGTAACCTCGGCAGGTGGTTGTACACTAAGCTATTATTAATAATATTTAACAAAAGTACACTAAACTGTTAACAATAGCGCTTGTATCTTGCTTCAGGGGGACTGACAATTCTGTTCAGACTTAAGAGAAATATTCATCTTTTGCCCACAAAACATAGTCGATTCATTTTACAGTATATTCGGTGAAGCACTTTGAGACATGTGATAAGGCGCTATATTAAATGCAAGGATTATTATTATTATGACACGCTTCAGCTACTAACAGCAATCACTGTACTACAATGTCACAAGTGCACATAAAATATACATGAGGGAGAAGGGAAGAGAAGCGTATGGGAGGCATGAGCAGAGACTCATGTGGATTATAAACATAGGCACGGACTAGTTGGGCTCAATTGCCCGTTTCCATCATGGCATGGCTTTCACTGAATACACAATCTGCTGCAACAAGTTATCCGCTTCACTTTTCGTGCAGTCTCTCCTTCTCTAAGCTTTTCATTGTGACTTGCAGCTCTCAGCTACCCGACAAACATCTCAAGCTATTTGAGCAGAGATCACTTGGATATCCAGGCTCATTTCTTCCCCGTGGCTTGGGAAGCTGGGGACAATTTTAGCAACTTTAACACTGGGGCTATGCCAATCTGGTCACTTGTCCACTCAGTTATGCACTGAAGCCCATTTAATTCAATGAAACGCTGAAGGTCCCACAAAGTCAAAAAGTGAATAGAAATATACACACAGGAGTGGCCATTCAGCCCCTTGAGCCTGTTCCACCATTCTATTGTTATGATGAACCTTTATAAAACACCGGTTAGGCCTCAGTTAAAGACTGTGCTCAGTTCTGGGCCCCACACTTTAGGAAAGATGTCAAGGCATTGGAGAGGGTGCAAAGGAGATTGACCAGAATGGTACCAGGAATGAGGGACCCAGTTATCAGGAGAGGTAGAGAAGCTCGGATTATTCTCCTTGGAGCAGAGAAGGTTAAGAGGAGACTTAATAGAAGTTTTCAAAATTATGAGGGGATTCAATAGGGTGAAATAAGGAGAAATTATTCCCACTGGCGGGCGAGTCGGTAACCCGATTTAAAATAGTTAAAAGAAACCGAGGGGAGGTGAGGAGGAATTGTTTCCCACAGCGAGTTGTTGGGATCTGGAATGCATTGCCTTAAAGGCTGGTGGAAGCCAATTCGATAACAACTTTTAAGAGAGTAGATAATTATTTGGGGAGGACAAGTTTGCAGGGCTATAGGAAGAGGGATTGATTCGGATACCTCTTTTCAAAGAGCTGGCACAGACACGATGGGCTGCATGGCCTCCTGAGCTGTATAATTTACGATTCCATGAATGAGTTTGAAAGAGGTGGTGGGGAGGAGGGGGTAAAACAAGGTGAGTTATCTAACACAGGAATAGACCAGACTAATTCTGCAAGTCTATCATTTCCAACACACGGAGGATGGCAGTCCATTTACTGTTGTTACACACATTGGCTTTACTTCAAGCCAATTTCTAATCCTACTCTTTCCCGCAGGGGATGAGATTGTGCAACCGAGAGGCGAGTACTGCTATTAAGTAATTCCTGCCATGAATCAAAGGTAGATAAGTTACATTGCAACACTAATGTGGCTTGGCGTTGCTTTCCAAAGGATTAGCTGCTTTAAATATCAACATGCAGTTATCTGTCCATCAATCGTCACATACATTGGTATTAATTTAAGCATTTGAAAGGGATAGACACTTGGAAAGTAGGTTATTGAGATATTTGGACATGGCAGGAATACAAGACTCCCAAGTTAGAGCTGCAGATCAATTCAATGGGTACATTTCGGATGTGGAGTCGTGTAGCGAGAGGATCCAGGTTCGATTCGCGGGCAGAACAAACCTGAGGCAAGTTGCCTTACTCCACACGCCTCTGTTTACCTTGAGGTAGATAGGAAACCAGTTGGCAGTCAATTGGCGGATCGCTTTCTGAAGCAATAATAGATATGTACTTATTAAGTCGTATTGTAGATGAGAAATAATCAGTTTACTCCAAATAAAGGTAGACGACACCGAGAAATCTTCAGAGACATTAAATCACAATGGTCAAGCAGTCAGATAATTGCTGTTAAAATGTTGATTTCTGCTGAAATTGATCTCCCTGCATGGTGTGGTATGGCGTTTTACCCACAAAATAGTCAATTCACTTTACAGTATATATTCTGTGAAGCTCCTTTGAGACCTCAACGATAAGGCGTGGTAAGGCACTAGTTCTATCAAATACAACAGCTTGCCATAAGGTGGCATTTGTAAATTAGTATGCAACCGCAATAATTAGTATGCAACCGCAATAATTGAAACACTGGTCAACTACAAGTAATTTGACGACTAGAAATGCTTGTGCACGAGCATTTACCACAGTTTTTTTAAACCCTCCAAAAGAATTAAGCGTAAAGAGACAGTCAGTCACCCAGCAATTTGTTGCTGAAATTAAAAGTCGTGTGATGTGGCTCCCGTCAGTCTACAAAATCAACCCAACAGCCATGAAAAAGTTAAGTTAATGGTCTTTTATTGGAAAAAAAAGACTAGCATTTACAACTTGGAATGGACATATTTGTAATTTGCTCAACAGCCATGTCGTCATTGTGCTGAAGTCCTATGTAGATATATACTCTGACGGCTCCAAGTTATGGTACAGAACAGAAGAGACATGAGAGTCCAAGACGCTCCCTTATCATAGTAACTTTTAAAAATTCAGTGAACGGCTACTGCCTGACATCCGTTTCACAATAGTGCAATGCAGACAAGTTAACCAAGTTTATACAGACATGCCATCCATTCGTTTTTTTTTTTAATTTATCTATTTATTAAGATCTTCAAACCTGGTAATTTGTGAGCACACGGTTAAGTATGAAAACAATTCCACTCCAGGGACTGTCATGTAATTACAACCTTCTAAGCAACGGTGGTTTGTTTTTTCGCTTGCCAAGGCATTCAAAAAAATATCAACCCAACCAACTTCAGAACAATCATCCCCATTACAATATACAAACTGGAAAAAACTAAACTATTCCCACAAAGAACATAAAAGTGGAATCAACAGAGCCAGGCTGTGCTCAACTGTCAAGCTGCATGCATGAAAAACTGGCCAGCCTAAACAGTGTATTAATTAGCATGGAACTTCATAGAGTCCAAGTGCTTGTTTTGTTTTGAAGGTAGTACAAGTTTGACTGATGCATGGCTTGAAGATCTCTGGGGACAGGACCACTGATCATTACATGCAGAGTTTGTGGACAGGTTTTTTTTTGTTGTTTTCTTTGACATTCAGTAACTTTTTGCTATACAGGAACAGAATGAATAAATGAACATTTTGCAAGAGGTAAGTAAAAGATTTCAACTGTTTTTTTTCTAGGAAGGGGAAAGGTAATGAACGTCTTCATTTTGCAGTCATCATCTGTACGAATTCTGTGAGGGGAAACAAAAAGGATTTTAAGAATCAGCACTAAACTCAATTCTGAGGCAGCTTTTGAAAAACATGAATTTAATTTCACCTCGACTCCCCCCTTCCCCATTTTCTGGTCACACCCAAGTCCTTCCTCTTCGACCGTGCCTAGTCACCTCACCCTACCCTTGACTTCAAAGTGCCTGAGACTCTACCCTACTTGAGGAGCGCTATATAAATTGTTGTTGATAAAGGCCACTGCAGACTAGTGCATTCAAACAATTAGCAATAGATTTCTATTTTAGTGACAAAATGACCTACTTTGTAACATCTTATTAAAACATTCAGATAATTTCTGCTGGAACAAGTAGAAAGCTGATGACTGGTACTAATTTGTGGTAGATTGATGGGTAGGTGAGTAGGAGGGAGAAGAGATAAGCATGTTGTGTATGGAATGCTAGAACATGGGCAAGACATTATTAATGTCCTGTTATGGTCAACAAGAGAACAAAACCAGAGACTCTACAATCTGTTCAAAAGATACACATTGCCATCTCTACCCATGTAGAACCATTTAATGTGCGACTGATCGTGGGAGCAACTGCGAAGGACAGAAAACAAGGCAGTTCTGCATAGCTACATATGGCAAAGCTGTATGTACAAACATGCAGTCTGGGAATTGTTATTAGCCACCAGCTAGGCAGCAGCCCTTGAATCCACTTCAACTATTCCTTGGGACAAACAAGTTTATCAGCAAATGACTAAAGCACAGCTGAGAAAGATAACAAAATCTCTCTCTCCTGAACCAGCAGCAAACAATCCACAGCACAGACTGATGTGGCGAGTGCCATTTATACTGTAGTGACAGTGAACCTGGGTGCGTACACCACTTTGGAGTTGCTAATAAACATCATCAGAAACAAGGGAATGGATTAATTGTCAAATCACTGTACATGCATAAATCTTTCTTCCACTTATCCTTGAGAATGCTGGGATTCAAAGTTTCAGGGATATCAGTAATGGAGCTCTCCTGTAGGTTGCTAAAGCGGCTGTGGGTGGAGGTGTTGATATCGTCACCCACTCACTTTCCAGTGGGTGGTCCTGGACAGTGATCAGGAACAAAAATCATTGCTGGCTTCTTTCCCACCCTAGTACACACGGCAGTCAACTGTATCCCTACCACCATTTAGTCCAATGCCTGAAGATAGGCTTTCCTTTGCCTCATCTCAACTGAAGTAAATATAGCCATGTTGGTAGAATTGGGGACTTAGGGTGAGTGATCTTTATATCCTCAAATCTATAAATCACATTTACCTCTGCTCCTCTTGAGAGAACCACACAGAGGTCAGCTAACTCAGCACATCCTGGGATCAAAGGGGAGGGGAGTCTTCTCTGAAGTCTTATTACCCACCACACCACCGGTGGGCCATTAGGAATGTTTTTTATTCACCGTTTTATTTCAAATGGACTTGGACAACTTGCACAAATACCTTTCCTATATATCAGAACTGATATTGCAATAAGCTGCTAATATTTGTGGATGTTGCAGGACTCGTCTGGGCTCCAGACATTTAAAGCCAAACAAAACCGGTGCAAAAACATGCAGATCTTCCAGTTTTGCGTTCATTCTCAAAGTTGTTGGTTCTCTTTCTGAACGTGCTGCTGATCTGCATTTGTAGATCCGGTGCTTTAAGATGGGTTCGCCCTGGGACTTTTTGGCCACACGATGTGTTACGGTTGGTGAACCCAGCTCGATTCTTGCCCTATACAATATTTGGATCTCAGCTGGAGCAGCAGAACACATTGGCTTCAATATATGAGGCTCAAATGGGAAAGGCAAAAAATATTCCTGCTCTCAATTCCAATCCAACGGGAATATGTATGGGCAGAAATACATAAAAGACCCACACAAGAATGGTCACTAGGTCAGGTCTGTTATAACTCAGCTACAGTAGAGGTCTGTTATAACTCAGCTATTGGGATCCATAAAATCTCAGCTCTTCCACATTCACTGCAAAGGAGTGCACAACTGTAGCGAGATGCAAAAAACTGAATTTCAGGTCAAGTTGTGTCCCTCACACCCTGGGCGCTGCTGCATAGAACAAGGCAACACAATGAACCAAAATTTGGCTTTTGTTCAAGTGTGTGGAAGCTAAAATGGCCAACTTCCAGGGCATTAGGTCACCAGCAACACCACTTCTGCACATTGAACATATGGCACACAAGGCTCATTGACCGCCTGATCTGGAAGTTGGCCATTTGGGCTTCCCATACCAGCTGGTGATGAAGTGGGGACATGAATTTCAGATATTTTGTGCAATTCAGGGTGCGAACCCAAAATCTAACGAAGCGCTTTACCTTCTGCTTATATGCAACGAGTGTAAAAATCAAGGACTGTGGGGAAAACCTATAATTGGATGTGATCAATGTAACAGAGAGCTTTGTGTAAGGGTCAGCCACTACATGGTCCACTGGGAGAATATTTAGTCCCCTGCAGCTCAAGGGTAGAGAGGTTCTAGGAGATTTAATAAGTCTATCAACCTCAGGAAGCATCCTGCCCTAGAGACAACTATTCTGTGGGAACATTAAGCTACTTGCACCAGTGCCAATATTGTGGCTGAAAATATGCAATCAAATATTTGACAAGCCAGTATTATACATTTTACCACTACGGGAGAATGTCAACTGTTGTACGTCCCTTCATCCTAACCACTAGTTTACGCCTGCCAGTTTCAGATGGAAGGAGTGCAGAGATAACCACTCACCTTCATAGTTGACTTGGCCATCTCCATCAATATCTGCTTCTCTAATCATTTCATCTACTTCTTCGTCTGTCAATTTCTCCCCTAGGTTTGTCATAACGTGACGCAGCTCTGCTGCACTGATGTAGCCGTTACCATCCTGCAAACGGTAAACATCCTTCAAATTAGCATCATAAGACTGGAAAATTGCTTTTACACACATGCTAAGTTTGTGATCTTATCTCCAAGCCTCTAGCCCCCCTCAAAGTGAAAGCCCTCACATCAATGCTCTGGGATCCTACACTGCGCAAGGGGTGCTATATAAATGCAAGTTGTTGAGGAGGTATTAATAGAATACAAAGTTACATTTATAGCACCTTTCGTGTAGGGAGCATGTCATGTCAAGTGGTGATCCAGGTTATATCACCACTTTCATGCAAGTGAAGTCTGGCAAGCATCTCAGCATGATCCCAGATCAGAAACACCTGGTGATCTGCTAAACATATTCAAGCCCTTCCATTGCAGCAGCTGTCACTAAATTGCTGTGCCACGAGTCACATTTAGATAATTGAATCAAGATCTTAGATTAGAAAGGCCTTCCTCTATATGGGTGTTTATAAAAAATCAATTTTCCACCAAGCAATAGGCCAGGACCTTTGTTCCAGTCCAAAGCAATCAGACTTCCCTGCCAAGCCAGGCATGAATCACCCAGGGAGGAGATAGGCAACCATCTCATTAGGGAGGAGGGTGAAACACACTTGACATTGGTACTGAGGGTGAAAACTGCATGAATATCCCTTCTTAACAAGGCAACCAAAAATTGCATTTTCTATTAATGCTTTTAGAATAGAATATTTTTTAATGAAATGTCTTTCGTCCACAAAATACACGTCAATTAACTTTACAGTATATTCTGTGACGTGCTTTGGGACGTCTTGAAGATGTGGTAAGGCTCCATATCAAATGCAAGGATTATTATTTAACGTGCATCAACCAGATTAACTGAAGGGTCTTCTTGGCTTTAGTAATGAATGCCACGTGAACTGGAAAAGCTGATCAGTTTGGAAAAATGTAGGTAAATTGTACCAGTTTGACTTAAGTAAAAATGTGCAGCTACAATCTCCCCTGGGTTCCCAATTTCAGTTGAGTCAAGGAGGGAATTCATGCATCAGCTGATTACAACTGACAGTGGGGTCGGGTCACAAAAGCAGAACATTTCCAGGTATAACTGGTGCACAGGTTTAAGGGAGTGGAGAAATAAAAATTCTTAAAATTGCTGTACTGGGAATAGTTCCTTTTGAAAGCTTTTATCCCAGATATGCCACAGACTAAAAATATTCTAGCGTTTCGCTCCTGGACTTTCTCAAGTCTCTGAACGGGTGATGACTCACGGGTAGATTTCAGTTAAAGACATTTGCACCAAAACTTGGCATCTCAGAACAGAAATGGCAACACCCAGAAAGCTAATCCGAATTCAAATCATTCACTGATTAAGATGGACAGGCCACAAATGTCTACTTAATCGGAAGTATGAAGCTGAAACCAGTAACAGGAATGTAATAACAATTTTATCACAGCTATTGAATATTTCCCATACCTTGTCAAATACACGGAACGCCTCGCGAATTTCTTCCTCACTATCTGTGTCTTTCATTTTCCTGGCCATCATGGTCAAGAACTCAGGAAAGTCAATAGTTCCATTACCTAAAAGAGCAAAAGAGATTTTTTTAACAAGAGACTACTTTGGTAAGTGTGTAATCTAAATTTGCTACCAGTGCAATCTATCATGGAATTCAACACCTCGAAAGACAGTTGTTTTCTTGTTACTCTTGTAAATAAGATATTGCAAATATAGTCTACACATGGCAAGACTAGATTTTGCATATAGCATTCTGATAGAATATATACAATCCTGTGGTGCACAATTGCGGAACGGTCTAAATGTTAGTTCACATTTACAAATTAAAGCTACCCACTTTCCATATTAGATAGTGACCCCTATGCACAATTTTCATCTGACCCAATTAAACCATATGATCAAATCTCATTAAATCAGAAATAGATTCTTCTGATATTATCCAGAGATTTGCAATGAACGGGTTCATAAGAATCAGGCAATTATATTCTTTTAATAGATTTTAGTGTGCTCCTTTTAATTGCACCGTTAAGTACAATTCCACCTTAACTAACTTGTCTTTTAATTCAGATTTTTACCTGGTTTAGGTTGCATCAAAACAACTTTATCCAGAAAGACCTCTCAAATCAACTGCAAGGTAACAAGCTGCAAGTGGTTATTTACAATGATAAAATTTGTTCCGATATCCTCTTCTTCCATGTATCTGCTGCTCAAGGACCTATCAAGTGAGAGACTAATCTAGTAATCTCCAGAGATGGTCTGGGAACCCAATCAAAGAACAGAATAAACCTGCATTCTGCCACCCCAAGTATTAGAGCCCTAAGACACAGCCAACAGTCCAATTCCTGCTTTCTGTAGAATATGTAGGACATTTTGTAGCAACAGATACAATTTGTGCCTGATGGGGACATTTTAGTAGGCCATCACTACCAGATAATTTTTACTTTTTGGAGATTTACATTATAGATGCACTGCTGTTTCTTAAGAGTCTCCAGGTCCTACCACAAGGAAACTGAGCATACATTGCCTTCCAGGATATATCCCACTTGCCTCTGTGTGGAAATAGATTAAAAAAACAATAATTGTAGTAAATCAGACTAAACTTCCAACCAATAGCCCATCACCAGGGTGAAATAACCATTTGATGTAACCTGATGCAATCCCTCTGGATTCTCACTCGCCGTGAAATACAAATTTGTATTCAATATTGTATTGATTCCTAGTGCAAACTCTGTTAAGTCTTCAACAACCCAGGTCATGCTGGCCAAATTGTATTCCTGGAAGTGCTTTATATTAATTTCCAAAGTAAGATCAAGCAATCCAAACCCAGTAAAACAAGGCAAACTGTGGCCCACACCAAACTGATTTGGTGTCTGGACTGGTGCATTCAGCAGAAACAAAGTACATGCAGTCAGACAATTTGCAGGACTGATTTGAGTTATTGTTCGCAGATCTTGAATACTACAGTGGAACCAGGAAGTCAACATACATCAGTGCTGCCCAATATACAACAATTGGTTTTAATGCAACTGCAAAGCAGTGACATTCAATATAATTAATTATCAATAACAAATAAAGAAATTCAGAAATGCAGCCTTAAAAGAAATTCAACTGCTTAGGGAGTCCAAGCAAATATCAATTCCTTAACCTTTAATGATGAATCTAGTTTGTGCATCCAGATGACAAGACACTGACATTTGGGCTCAGTGCATTTAATAATAATAATAATAATCCTTGCATTTGATATAGCGCTTTTCACGTCGGGAGGACGTCCCAAAGCGCTTCACAGAACACACTGTAAAGTGATTTGACTGTATATTTGTGGGCGAACGCGGCAGCCAATTGCACACAGTAATGTCCCACAAACAGTCGTAGATTGAAAATGACCAATTTATTATTGTTTTTGGTTTTGGAGGGATTATTATTAGGCTCTGTGTGGAGTAAGGAAACTTGTCCAAGGTTCCGCCCTCTGCCTGGAACTGAACTCAGGTCTCTCAGGTCTCTTACTTTAGATTTAGATAATTTTGCCTCTTAACAGGAATGCATAAATTCCTACAACACAACAGAGAACCCTTCCAAACATTAATTGACCACTGAGGCATATGTAATGGTGTTTCCACCTTACCTTCAGTTGCTGGAAGCAACCAGGGATGGACCACCGAATATGGAAGTTTCATTGGGGTACTGCCTCATTTAAATTAGTTAGTTAAATTAGTTTCCAGTGACATGATTGCGAGCTAACACAGAGCATAGTGTATGAAAATCACTACTCAACTTTTCATGCATTCGTTTAAAAAAAGAAACTTCACACCTAAGTTAAGATCAAGTTGCACTGAATTTGGAATAAAATGTTTTTAATTCCTCAGGCAGCTTTTCAAGGTTTGATGTTGGCAAGAAGTTTGCTATTGTGCTGTTCAGATACTGCTGAGTGAATGCCAAATATTAACCGCTATGCGACAATCCACTTAAGTCTGACATTACCCAGTGGCAGGGCTGCTAATTCATCAGGTACATCTTTGCTCATCAATCAGAAGCAGCAACATGAAGCCTAGAACTCAGCTCAATATTAAGTCGTAGATACTTTGAGATCTTTTAGCTTCATCCTAACAGAGGTACATATTACAGTACCTGTTATTTCCTTTGCTTTCAGATCACTAAGACAAAATTTATTTTTTAATAACATCAATCACAGGCAAATAATTATGCAGCCTTTTACACTTACAATTCTTGCCCTTGATTACAGCACATTATCACATCATCAAGATGTCTCAAGCACTTCATCGTAAAGTGTACTGACTATTTTGTGGGTGAAACGAGACAGCCAGTTTGTGCACAGCCATGTCTTAGACAGCCATGGAGTTATTGACCAATTTTATTTGGGGAATTTGGTGACCAGGAATGGACGAGAAATGCACTTCTTTTTTCCCCCGAATGGAGCCATGGGATCTCTAGCATCCACCTGAAAGGGAAGATGGGACCTCGGAATAACATCCTCACTCGAAGGACGGCACCTCCAACATTACAGCACGCGGCAGCGTCTTAGACTAAGTGATTCCAAGTCCCAATTTGGGGCTTGAACCCACAACCTTCTGACTCGGAGACAAGAGTGCAGAAATACAATTGCCTGGGGCAGTTTGGAGTAATTCTGCTCAAAATCACAATTTGCATTGAACTTAAGAGGCAGAATGCTCTATGTCAAATTGCCTCAAGTGCATCACATAAATTGGGAAAACTAGTAGCTAATCTGGAAAAGCATTTTCCCATAATGATGTAATCTTCATTCCTACATTGCAGCCCACAGCTTCCAAATGAGCAACAGCTCTGCTCACACTTCCTTTGCAGTCACCAGTCCTATCCTTGAACTCTTACAAACCCATCTGCGACATTACTTCCAGTTTCACTGCCTTAAAAAAAACACAAGCTTGAACACAAGCTTGCTCAATATATTTTCCTTGCTTGATGTCTACCACGACATTGTCAAAATGTATTGGTGCGAACCACCGCAACAGGGATAACAGGACCTTTGCTTAGCGTAACAAAGGAAAGCCTTGAGAATACAGCTCTTTGTATTGCAAACATTCTGAGTATAGAGTATACTCCCAATCGGCTGAGGCAGTGCTCCAATACTGTCTGTATGATAAACCGGACACAGCATTAACCCAGCAGGATATCAAACAAGTCAAGCCCAAACCATCCCTAACTGGGTAGCCATAACACGCCTCCCTCAAACAGCAAGTTATTTATTCGTAAATAGCGGAAATACAATTAATCCAAAACAAGTTTCAATCAGCTAATACATAAATTTGGAATTTAAAGAATGACTTGAATGTTTGCGGCATTTTCCGCTCGTTTCCAGTTGTCTAAAAAATGAATATGAATTGAAGTTTTTGGATGTCATTCTCGGTTCTGCAATGCACTCTCAAAGACTGCAAAATTGACAACTATTCTGGAGTTAAAATTCAATGGCATGGTAAACAGGTTTGTACTGAAATTCTGAAATGAGGGTAAATGTTTAATATATCTGTCCCTATGGCATGTTGGATCTTTCCAATGAAAATTGCATGTAAACCTGTCAGGGAAATGCTACTTAATTAGTTAATGTTGGCTATCTCCTGTCACAATTACCGCTCCTCACCTCCAGTCTGGTTACACACTGCAACCTTATCAGTCATTAAGCACAATGTACCTCAGATTTGTTTCCAAGGCCAACCAAACTGCTACTTTAAACAATTTGAAATTAAGCTCATCAATGAGAATATCTGATCTAAAATAATGCATTCAACATATCTTGGACAATCACCAGCACACCGCCAGTTATTTAAAATTTGTTTGTCCTCAAGTACAAGACCATAGCATTGATCTCCCAGGAACAGTGAGTTGATACAGAAATCTCACTGATCCATCAACTGGTTTCTCCACTACAGCAGATAAAGTGTGCTCCAATATAATTTATTAATGCCATTTCATAAGCTTTTTTAAAAAGGCAGTGAAACTGGCACATTTTGCTACATTATTTTCATGCAAGACAACTTAAGCTGTGTCCTGATACAAACAGACACACCTAGTAACCAATAAGTAAGATACAATTTACTGTGGGAAAGAATTATCCCTAGAGTAATAGAAGCCCAAAAGGTTAAGTATTAAAAATGTCACGCGCAGCTGCCAAATGTCAAGTGATAAACAAAAACAGGCCTTATGAATTATTTTTCACTCATGTGAACCAGCCATTCCACTAGGCAGGGTCATTGGATCTCATTCCCACAGAATAACTCAATATTCCAAGTAAAGAAAGTTTACAAAATGGAAATGGCTTACATTTTATTCATTCTATGCGATTAAAAACTACCTCAGACTTAATTGTATTTCATGTGCAGAATAAGCAATCACCCTTTATGATCATCCTCATCCCTAAACAAGTTACTCAGATAGCATTTAAAATAGCTAAGAGTTCAACACCTCTGTATTGCCTTCTTGCCTGCTGGTCTGCCATCTGTAAAGCTGCACTTAATTAAGTGAATAAACACAAAATACGAACCATGGGCACTGTATATGGGATGGCTCAGGCATTAATGCGAGCAAAAGCATTAGCAATATTAAAGTGCAATAATTTGATTGCATCAGTTTTTTGTGAAATTAATATTCAATGGTTGAGACTTACCATCAGCATCAACTTCATTTATCATGTCCTGCAACTCTGCCTCAGTTGGATTCTGTCCCAAAGACCTCATGACAGTCCCCAGCTCTTTCGTTGTGATGGTGCCATCACCATCTTTATCAAAGAGGGAGAATGCCTCTTTGAATTCTGAAAAACAGGTTAAAAAAAAATTAGTCAATGGGCACAAGGAATATTTTGGCATTTAAAGAGATTAAAAGGCCAAGTCTCAACTCCACACAAGATTATTGGCATAGCAAAACTTTGAACATCCTAGTAGTGTACAGACTGTGGCCCAATTTTCAGACATTGGGTCACATATTCAAACAAGACAAGAGAATTTAAAACTACAGAACTGTGTGACAAAGCGGTCTTCAAGAAGCCAGGGAAGTGGTAGGAGCTCCATTTTTTTAAAGAAAGAATCTTCTTTCAACCCTTTTCCCATTAAATGGCATCCTGCAGTACAAAAAATAATTCCACAAGCTCACAGTGGGGTGGGCTGTAAAACAAACTTTGCTCTACATCAATTCAGTGAGATTGCCAAAGTTGATATTATGGTCAAAGTACTGAGATCAGCATATCAAATCCACATGATCAAATCTGAACAGCCTTAAGGGGATTGGCTGCGTGTTTATATTGTAACCTATAGAAATCAGCATGCACAGGTCCATAATAGCTGGTTAGCAGCTATTAGAAGAATGGATGCTGGTCAAATGCTCGAAGAAACCAGGTCTTGGAGCAGCTTTCCATTGTGAACAAATGCTCAGTTATAATCCTCGCATTTGATGTCTGATCACGTCATTGAGACGTCTCGAAGAACTTCACAGGATAACCTGTGACGTCCCACAAAAAGCCATGGAGTGAGTGACCAAAGTTATTTGGGGGATTGTTGGCCAAGTCACCGGGAAAAACTCCCTTCTCTTTTCGACCCAGACCGAACCTCAGTTTAATGTCTCATCCAAAGGACAGCATCTTCATCAATGCAGCACATCCCCAGCACTGCATTGGAGTGTCAGCTAAGAGCATGCAATTTCATTTTATCGAAGGATAAGAAAGGCTTGGGGGTATTCCATGCAGGCTCCATGAACCTTCATTCAGTACTTAGGATCACCAATGTACAACAATATCCCTCAATTCAGAACTAAATGTTTGGACCACAATTAAAGGCAGTCCATTTGTTCCAAGCCACTTCAGATAGAGTAGAGGCATTCACAGACTTCATGATCACAGCAAGAAGTGATGAATCTTCAGGTGACATACAATGGCCAATGGAAAATAATCACTTAGGACAATATCACTTTTCACTAACGGTATATGCTGTCTTGTCTTCTCATTGAAGCATTAAGAATTCATCTTGCCATTTCATTAAGTTTACATGGAAGCTAAGTGTAGACAAAAAAAGTAATTTATGAGCCACATCAAATACAGCAGCAAAGATAAATAATTCTGAGCACTATCAAAATGTCTCAGAGCACTTCACAGGTAAGTGCCATCAAATGTAGTGACTTTATTGGCAAGCACAGCATATAACTGTGTTCAGCATACAGCCAAGTCCAAGAAAGTCATGAAAAATGTGACCAATATATCTGGTGTATTATTCAAATAATGCTATATTTCATCCAAAGACTGCACCAGCAACATTCTCATAGCAGACAGGTTGAATAGCAAGCACATATCCTGAACACAATTGTCTAACAGAATAAGATGCTTAAGACCAGAAAAGTTACCAATCATTAACATTAGCACCAACTATTTTTTCTTGGGTTAGGCACCTACATAATCCAAAATCACCAAGGCAGCAATGTGTAGGGGTGGAAACCGACCGATACAGTATTACAAATCTAATAGGAATGGAAATGTTACCTTCAACTAGCGAGAAATACAAAGTGGTAAACACTTTGCGCCGAAGATATTTGCTGAGCTTGAATATCTAATCCAATTCCTCGTCAACAATTTACCAGGTCACAACTATACTAATAAGGAAAGGATGACACCAATGCTCTACAGTGAGCAGAGGCATCAACGACCCATACAATTGAAAGCACCTGGTTTGGGCCCCTCAAGTCCCAAAAGTACCAGTGAGAGATCCAGTTGTTTCTAAATTTCCCTCAAGTTCCAAAGGGACATTCAGTACTCAAAGCCAAACAACAATGAACCAAAACAAAAGGTTGCTAGAGAATTAGCTGCTCTAACAAAGTATTTAGGGGAATTTCTTCCAACTACACGGATCTCCATCAATAACTGCCACAGTGTGCACAAAGACCAGAGCCACTCATTGGGCTGATTTTAACTAATCTCTTCAGTCATGCACCACTCCTGGATAGTGCCCATTAGGTGACTTCCATTTTTTCCACCAGTGAAAAAATGTCTTCCCATATGATCAGTAATTCAAGGTCGGGAAAACAGCCACAAGAACTCGACTGCTCTGGTACTCTGGAGCCCCAAAAGAATACATTTCCATAATAGCTGAATTTCTAGCCACCATTCTAAATAAACCGAGTAGACAAAAATTTGAACACCAACCCAACAATCTCATTTGATAGCATAAAGATTCCAGTAACAAAAGATTTGCATCTAACAACAAATTACATTTGTACACCGCCCCTCACATCGGAAAGACGTCCCTAAATTCACCTACCAGCAATCTGTTCCTCAGTCAGCTGGTCAGCCTGTAAGACACAAAGGTTAATGTTTTAATGAGATGAGTAAGACATAATCAGTAATGTTAAGTTCATATTTATCATCAGAATATTTTCATATTGATAATCAGAATGCTTACAATCAGATTATCAAAACCTTGTTCACCCAACACTTACACAATGTTAAATCCCATCTCATATTACAAATCTGCTTCCAGTCAAACAAGTTAATAGTCAGTAATAAGGGGTTAATAGTTCCATAACTAGTGCACTATTGCAATAATCACTTGTCCAACTGACAAGCAGAATTCCACCTCACGTGCAAAATGTCTATTCTCCAGGAAGGGTTAGGGCCATTTTTCATCATTCACCCTCTGTACTGCACCTCCTACTGGCAGAGGAGATGCAGCAACATCAAGTAGGCAAATTACTGTAGTTAGCCATTTCAGATTGCTCTACTCACTGCAGGTGGGAAAAGAAGTATTGGAAACAATAAGATTGTTTTAGATGCATAACAGATGGACCAAAAGGAAATTCCATGGAAGCTAACCAGAATTTATACCATAATGGGAATGAAAGTGTAATCCTCCATTGAATGTGGGTTTATAAAGATAATGACATTAACTGCATCACAGTATAAAACTAATGCTATTGTCTGCAGACAAATTTCACATTGTAAGCATCCACTGGACATCACTTGGATATAGCTCAATATCACCCTTTTAGGCACATTTATTAATAAATTATTAATAAATGTGCCTAAAAGGGTGATATTGAGCTTTTTATCCCAAACTTTTTAGAGAAACATCTCAAAATCAAAAACAGAGGAAAACACGATGAGGATACTTTCAGTCACTGCAATGCTTCACCTTGATTGCGATTTTCAAAGATGTTCTGAGATTCAAATGTCTTAATTTTAAAGATCCTGTTGTGTTTATTGTATAAGTGATCACGAACACTAATTGAGTTTAAGAGGCCTTTAAAAAAATTACAGAGGCCTTCCAATGGCACTTTCAGAGTTCACATTAGACCTGATCAGGTAGAGAAGATTAGTACTCGTCACCATTCAATTTTAATTCTTCATGCATTATGCACAGATGAAATAAAGTCCTTTCTTTGTATAAGATTCATAAAACACCTGCTTTCTTCATTAGCTTGCTTGGCACGACATTGCAACCTTATTTTGGTTTAATACGTAACCTAGCACATCCACATCTCATTGCACATCCATGTGCAATCCACCTGTGCAAAAAAGCCGTAAAGGCACATCTAATGAGACATCAGCGCATTAACTTGAGTGCAGATGACATAACTGCAGCGACAAACCGGAACACACATCCGTTCGTTTAAAAAAAACACTCAATGCAGACAAATATGAAACTACGCAATACTCTGCTTTGCTGGTGGCATGATCAGCGTCGATCGGGGGAGGGGAAAAGTGAAGCAAGTTTACAACACATTTTCTGGGCTGTGACTCTCTCGCTGGGCGGGTACAAAGGTCCAATTCCACCAATTCTGTAAGCCGATGGGCCTCCGAGATAACCAAAGGGTAATGTCCGATGATGAATGCAATCCTGGAGATCAAGTACGCTGATAAACATTTGGACATGAAAGACGAGGGTTTTTTCCAAAAAAAACCATCCCGCACACAAACAACGCATACAATGCGCATTCAGAATCGTCATGAAAGAGCCCCAAAACGACCACCCTGGGGACACATGTAATAATACTTGCATTTGATATAGCGCCTTATCACGTCGTTGAGACGTCTCAAAAGCTCCTGACAGAATTTTATATATACATTTTTTAAAAAACCTGATGATTTTACAGCACCGGGCAATAAAAAGCTGCAGATGGGTGAACGCGAGGGAGGGGTCGGGCAACGGGTCGGGCTCAGAGAAGGCAGAAGTGGGTGAAAAAGAGAGGCAGGGAGGCGAGCAGCCACCGAGGTAGGACGCAAACTTAAGGGCATCCATCCGTCGAGAGACTTCGACCGTCAGCGATTCCGCGTTAGCCACGCGTTCAGCTCCCGTCAACTCCGTCCCCGAGAGCAACAACTGGCGACCACGGCGGCTTCCAGCGAAATCACACGTTTCATTTAAATTCAAATACAAATAAATATACGCATATAGATATATATATACACACACACATACATGTATATATATATATATACACATATAAAAAAATAAAACCAGCTTCGCCTCCCACAGCCCAGAGGAGGTCGGAAAGGTAAGCGAAAGCAACAAGACGGTGGTGTGGGTGTGTGAGTGTGTGTGAGAGGAGGACGAGGGGGGAAAAAAGCCTCTATAGTATTCTTTAATAGATTATATATAAAAAAATAAAATTAAAACCACCGCCGCCTCCCACCCCCTCACCCTACACGAAAGAAAAACACACACACACACATATATATATATATATAATTTTTTTTTAAAAACCCGCCCGGGAGCGATCAACCAAACCGCTCGGCTGAAAAGCTGAAGTAGAAACTCGGCAGTTTTTTCTCTGCTCCCGTTCAAACCCAAACCCAACCCCAACCAAACCCCAACCCCAACCCCGCGTCTGGTCCGTCCGTTACCGCGAGCGGCCATTTTGTCCACTTCGAGGGGAGGAGGAGAGGGAGAGAGAGAGGGAGAGGGAGAGGAGGAGGAGGAGGAGGGGGGGAGGGGAGGGGACGGGAGGGAAGGGGGGAAAAAACGACCGTTTTCCCATTCCCGCTTTTATTCGCTTCCTTTTCAAACCCCGAGCGGACAACCGCCGGCCACGGCGGGCGGGGACTGCTACACATCTGGAGAAAATATATAGCTATATATATATACACACATACAGATAGACATATAGACGCACATTTCCCCCCCCTCAGAAGAAGCCGCCGGCGCCGGGGAGCCCAATACGTACCATGTTGAGTCGAGGGGGGAATGCGCGCTGTGGAGCGGATACGAGCAGCTCTCGTCCGACACCCGAGACCGTACCAGCGCCGACTGCCGCCCGCCGCCTCCACTGCCCGCTTCATATATATACTGCGTATCCCTCCGCCGCCCCTCGGCCAACCCCTCCCCCCCACCGCCACCACCACCGCGAACGCCGCGGCCGACCCTCCTCCCCTCCCCCCTCGGGACCCCCCCGCCACCCACCCACCTCGGCCGACGGGGACGCGCGGCGGAGTGTCCACCCCCCCCACCCCCCGCCCCTCCTCCTCCCGAGAAAGCACGTCGGCGAAGCGCGGGATTATTTTCCGGCGGCGTGGGGTTACCATGACCACCAGGGCTGAGTGATGAGGCCTCCGGTTGGCGCGAGGAGAGGGGGAGGAGGAGGAGTGTGTGGAGGGGGGGGGGGGCTGTGGATTTGTTACGCTCCTTCTGATTGGTCCAAGCGTACCTGCAATGGGTGAGCGGATGTGCCGAGCGCTCGCATTGGTCGCGGGGTACCTGCAATGCGTCAAGCTTTGGACATGATGGTTGTGTTTGGTGGAGGAGAGGGAGAGGGGGAATGAGAGAGGGAGGGAGGGAGAGAGAGAGAGAGAGGGGGAGGGAGGGAGGGAGAGAGAGGGGGAGGGAGGGAGGGAGAGAGAGGGGAGGGAGGGAAGAGAGAGGGGAGGGAGGGAGAGAGAGAGGAGAGGGAGGGAGAGAGAGAGAGAGAGAAGGAGAGGAAGGAAGGAAGGAAAGAAGGAAGGAGAAAAAGATAGTGAGGAGAGAGGGAAACAGTGAAGATTTGAGAGGAAGGAAGAAGAGAATGAGATGAGGAGAGAGAGAAAGAGAGAGAGAGAGCGCGAGAGGAGGGAGAGAGTGAGTGAGGAAGGAAGGAGGGAACAAAGGAAAGTGAGAGGAGGAGAGAGAGAGAAGAAGAAGAAGAAGAAGAAGGGGTTGGGGGGAGGGTGCGAAATACACCTGTGCCTCAGGCCGGGTGGAACCCGAGTAAATGACCCGCAAACTTAGATGGGGCCGGAAACGCTGAGCAAAAGGACCGAATCACGGCCACTCGTTGGCTTTTCGCGACTTTCCTCTCGTTTCTAATTGTACCGATCGCCGCGGCTTCTGCTTCTGTTGCTCTGCGCCCTTCGCCTTGGCCGGCGCGGGCCTCGCCACGACGGCGATCGTCCTTGCGTTTGACGCAGCGCCGTGTCGGCGGCGTCAGAGCGCTTGGCGGGATTCTCCTGGTCGAGCGGGCAAGCCGACTCGGGCGCCGCGACGGCAAAACATAACTAGCCGTGAAGCGAGTGGCCAATTTTATCTGGGGGGAGTTATCGTTCAGGACCCCCGGGGAAAACTCCCCTTTTCGTGCGGTGCCACGGGATCTTTGATACCCAGCCCCTTGGTTTAACATCTCTTCCCAAGGATGGCACCTCCCAACAATGCAGCACTCCCCCCACCCCACCCCACCCCACCGCCCACCCCGACATTGTATCGCAGTGATCTCCACTCGAGAAAGAGGAATAAAAAGAGATATACCTTGTGTCTTATTTGAATTAGAACTGACACCGACTGAATGTTAGAGTTGAGCGCTGTATTTTGGAGTTAAAGTAATGTGCGGATCCCTGACTGTCCACCTTAGGACGTCCCGTCCTCCTGACATGAAAGGCGCGACACGAATAATTTGTTGCTGTGGTGGCTCTTCGGTGGCAATGTTTGGCAGGTGACATCCGACTGTGGCGAGTCGGTTCATTTTAAATTTGGCACGATTAAGAATTCTTTCAAATTGTTTATTATTTACACTGCTCTTTGATTTTACTCCCATTGCAGCACAGAGCAGATTTTTTTGATGCAGGGAATTAGGAGTTTTAACAGTAGAGCTCAGTCTCATGTTGGCACAGGAAAATCTGGAGACTGAGAGAGAGAGAGAGAGTGTTCAGGTGGAACTCATGTCATGAAGACACCTTTTTTTAAATTCTAGCTTTCACTCACTTTTCTCTGCTTGGGTCCCCTCCGCTGATTTCAATCGTAACACTAATAACAATAATACTTGCATTTGATATGGCGCCATATCAAATTGTTGAGACATCTCAAAGCAGTTCACAGAATATACAGTACAGTGAATTGACTGTATATTTTTGGGGCAAAACGTAGGAAGACCCAAAACATGGATTTCTCCATCACACGCAAGCCATATCGTTCCGGCCACATCCTTCTGCAATTTCATCTTTCTTTCACCAAAACAATTTCAAGGGTCAGTCGATCAGCCGGTGAATCAGACGTGGGTTCAATCAAGGTTCGTGTCATGGAGTTCAGCTCATAGTCCAGACTCACTCCAGTTGCTGCATTGCTGAAGGTACCATTCTTTGAATGAGATAATAAACAGAGGCCCTGTCTGCCATTTTGTCAGGTGGGCATTAAAGATCCTGTGACAATATTGGTTAGAGGATTCGCCTCACGAGCGAGAGGACCTGGGATTGATTCTTGGGTGGGGCGAAACATTGGACAAGTTTCCTTAATCCACAAGTCATTCAATCCACAACTGTTTGTGGGACACTGCTGTTCGCAATTGGCTGCTGAGTTTCCCCCACAAGATATAAGTCAATTCACTTTACGGTATATTCTGTGAAGCGCTTTGAGACGTCTCGAAGACATGATAGGGCTCTGTATCAAATGCAAGGATTATTATTATTGAGAAAAGAGGATAAGCCTCTCTAGGTGGTGTCCTGACCTACAATCCTTAAGTTGGTCATTTACCTCATGGTGGTGAATACTACGCACAAAATGACTGATACATTTGCCTATAAAAGTAACGACTAAATAAATCGATTTGAGACCTTTCAATCTGATAAGGCACTATGAAAATGCAAATTATTTTTGTTGGATTTCTTTATGTAAGAAAAGGTTCCCTATTGAGGAGTGTTCAGATTGTTACTGTATTTAGAGTGGATGTGAGCAGAGACTCTACATTATAATCAATTGCTAGACTGCCCCATTATTAATCCTTCAGCGAATTAATTAATTGACATAATAATTTCTGTCGTTCAAGACACAAAGATCACAAGAGTGATTTGCATGAAGAAGACCCTTCGGTCTATTTGATCTCATCCTTTCAGAATATCCACCCTACTGTCCTCCCATCGCAGCTCAAGCTGTTTCTTAAATGAACTGCCTTTGTCGTCTTGTTGCCTTCGCAGAATCAAACAGAACCTTAAAAGGAAAGAAGCATCATTCAGAGAGCTGCTGTGTAGACTTCACGAAGATTTGCTTAGCCTATTTTGCCTCCATCATTTCAGTGGCATGGGGAGTTAGTTAGCTGTGCAAGCCGAAACAGATGATAGAAACAGCTCAGTACAAAGATTTAATTACTGAGTGAGCATCAATTGTTACTTTAGCTGCTAAACTATGCCTAGAAACATGCACACAAACAGGGATCCAATCTGCCAATCTGTCACAAATATTTTCCCTTTATTTGGTGAGCCAGCACAGGATCAATCAAAAGGACAAAACAGCATCAATCAGGTTCCTAATATGTTTGCAAATGTTTGTTACATAGTGATAATTACAGACAACAGCGGACCATTGGTCAATCTCTTTACCCTTCCAACTTCTCAAAAGTTTACTCCAACATATTTAGTGATATACAGACTCTGAATCATAGAATCTTAAAGCACAGAAGGAGGCCATTCAGCCTATTGTGCCTGTGCCGGCTCTTTGAAAGAGATATCCAATCAGTTCCACTCCCCCCACTCTTTCCCATTAATCTGCATTTTTTGTCTTTTCAAGTATATATCCAATTACTTTTTGAAAGTTATTATTGAATCTGCTTCCACCGCACCCTTTTAGGCAGAATTCCTTTTATCTTCCAGAACTATTTCCAGTTCGTATTTGAAACCCTTCCTTGCTCGACCACATGTGGTAGTTTGTTCCAAATGTCAAACTCTTTCACGAAGGTAGATTGTCATGCATGATTATTATTATTACTTCTAATCTGTCTTGTTATCCCTATTTTGAAGTTCTGTCCCTCTGAGCTCCCCCCACTACCAAGGTTCACCTGGCAAGTGCCCATTGTATTAAACAGTCTTAAGGAAGGTCTTAGGTTCAATCCATGGTTTATATTGAGTTAACAACACAAGTAGGCTGTCAGTAAGAGTACACTGTAGCCAGGGAGAGGACAGGTCAGTCAGGATTGTCACCCCTGTTGCAAAGTGTGCCTAATGTGGATGTTGGGTGAGGGCTTTGCAATGATTCTCAGTCCACAAAGACTGGTGTATTAATTCCTTTATTCTCAGCTCATAATAATAATAACCATAATAACTCCTGCATTTGATATACCGCCTTATCACATCGTCTCAAAGAGCTCACAGAACTGTAAAGTGAATTGACTGTGTATTTTGAGGGTGAAACGCACCAGCCAATTGCTCACAGCATTCCAATCATAACCCACACACCTTGGCTCTCTTGCCAGGATCCCTTTCTACTCCTGCTTCAATTTTGTTGGCGCTTTCTTAACTTCTTAAAGCAATATCCTACAGGCATAGCATACTGTTCTTGGTCAAATAGCCTGTGGTCAACTCTCCTTGTCTCAGTGCACAGATGAACACTTGGGCAAGGTACAAGCAGAACAGCAATGGAAGAAATCTTGTGAAAGGGAACAGTGGTTGAGGCAGAATCCTACATGAGCTTTCAAAAGGGAACTGGATAGATATCTAAAATAAGTAATTACAGGGCTATGGTCAAAGAACGGATAAATGGGACTGAAGAATTTCTCTTAAAATAAACAGGATGGGCCAAATGGCCTTCTTCTGAGCTATAAATTTCTACGGTTCTATTATTATAAAAATCAATGTAGAGAACATGATATTTTGAGTGTCTGGACTACTCTCTATTTTTGACAGAGAAACAACCTCAGGTGTTGTTGTCAGACAGAGTCTGCTGTGCTTTGTCCGCTGGGAGAAGTGTCTCCCTATAACTGTAAATAAAACCTTTACGTTTCCCTTGTTATGCCTTGAAAGTTATTTTCGATGAGCTGGAAGCCAAAGGACCCCTGTCAGAGTTGAGGATCTACTGTGTGAGTATATACAGGACAATTGGTCCTAGGTTTTATTCAGAAACTGTG